ACATTTTTTACAACCATCTCAATCTTTCTTATTTGTTCTCCAGTAACTGGTAAGTTTTTTTGCTCATTTTCTTATATACCATCTATTGGGAGAACATTTTTCTCAGACGACCGATGCTACTAAATATGGGGCACAGAGGTCTCAAACTTTCGATAACTTTTTTGCCTGTCCGTATATTTTCCCAGAAAATTTCAGTTCACCCACTCTCTGACTAGGACTGGGCGTTGATCGTTTTCGAAAAATACGATCTCCTAATAACTGCCTTAAGTTTTCTTCCAATTGCTTACATCCGCTTGACAATAATAAGGCAGTGGATGGTTCTAATTCTTTATTTTAGAGTATCAACCTGAATAATACAACACAAATGGTCTCTAGCTCAAGACAACAAACTGCTGTCTTTTATAATAATGAGATGTTATTCATGACATCAACTACATATCTGTTCAACCAACTGAGATACAGTCAATTTCCAGGTGTGTGGAGGGAGGGAGAGGGCTAAATAGACAAACGAAAGAGAGCCTGAAAAAGGAAGAGCCATAGATAGATGAGTGATGAAGACGTAATTTGTACTCAACAACAAAGTCAATATCTATGCAGGTGATATTGGAAACCTAAACCGGGCAATTTTCAGGTGATATTTATAACCTTCCTAATTGCTCCATGCATTTTGTCTACCTTGAAGATAGCAATAAATCTTTAGTCGTCCTTCCATACTTGTCTCACTCGGGAAGTGAAACATGAGAACACTGCACGGTGCCCGATCTCATGCGGTATTGGCTGCGTAACAAAATTGACCGGTCAATTTGATTCATCGTTGATCTTTGCCATGGTCATCATTAGTATACAAGTCGTGAAGGTAATAAGTGAATGAACAATGCGCAACTCGTGGAGTGACTGAATCTGATTGGCATCAGATGGAAAAAATAAAAGTAGGAAGTTGGAGTGGTGGGATTTGTCTGAGGTTGGTTTCACTAAGTGGGGGTCAACATATATTATAAGGTGGGATCAAAGCAGCTGCTGTACCGTGCTTCCCCACTTTTCAGTGCAAGTCTCATTTACACGACTAATTCATCGTATAAAGATATAAGAAATTTTAGACGGATGATGGATAGATGGGTGGATAATACAGAGAGGAGATGTTTGGTAGGTTATTGGTGCGTGGACATGTTGAACTTTTAGTTACTGAATAGATGCGTGAATTGGTTCAAGTTGGTGCAGGATTCTACACTTTCGTAGCTATCTGTAATGATTTTGGTAATTCGGAACACACCGCGAAATAGGAATCACAGAACACGATCACGAATCAGCTATCATGGATTGGATCACGGAAGAATTGGACCGCAATGGCACGAGCTCGCAATATCCCACGTGGAAGAGACACGAGGAAAAGGCCATAAGACTAACAATTCGTAGTTCGTTTATTGAAAAAAAAAATGAAGGCGCTTAAATAATACGTACGAAAGAAAGTCATTGGTTAGCTAGGCTTCTACCAATCATATTGCGTAAAGAAGTCGGAAACATTTATTCAAACTCGTGGTGGGAAGACATTGCGTTCAATCATATTGCGGTATTGCTTGCATACTTCTGCTTCTGTCTGCACTGTATCGGATTGGCTGGCACGATCCACCAATGACGTGTAGTCAGAAGCCGTGACGCGTAGCCACCTCATTGACGTCACCTTTCAAATTGCATTAATCGCAGGTGTCCAGAAACTGTAACGCGTGGGCATGGATCACCACATTATCACAAATCTTATTCGTTCTTCGTCAGCTTTTTTACGCACCGTTTTTCTTTAGTTGAGCAAATAGAAGCAAGACTGATCCAACGTGACTATTCTGTGCCCTATTTTTTCAAATTCTTCTCAAACGATCTATTCATGAAATATACAGTGCATCATTGTTTACGTTCATAATTATTCGTGTTTTTTATTGAATGTCTCTGAATTGAATGGTCAAACTGAAACGAGGTCACCTCATCGACTGCATTTACAGAACTGTCTCAGAATTTGTCCAATGAAGCGATGACATCCTTCAATGTTTTTTCTCCCAAATTCATCCGATCAAATAATAGCCTACCTTGGACACCTAGGTATAGTCGTAGTAAACAGACACACTTCATTGGTTAGTTACAATGAAGGATTGGATGTACGTAACATTGCAACGTAATCCACGAACATTGTCTTCCATGTATTCCAGGACATATCGGAAGGTTTAGTAGCAAGATCATTCCAAAACTGATGAATGGTGCACGGTAAACCAAACATTTTGCAGGTTCAGTGGCCGCGACGCCAAATGTTGTGCTCCAAATTAAGTAGGAAGCTGAGCACAATGAATTCAACAGTAATTTTATGGTAAACAGTAAACATGTAGCCGGTTCACAAACCCGGGAATAGGCAGGGACGAGCAGTGTGTAGGAAGGCTGGTAGGCATGTCGACACCAGATCCCTCGTGACACTACATACGAATGCCGTCAAGTAAGCATTTAAACAGTCAGTCAATCAATCAACTGATTGATTGATCAATCAATTTGGCCATAGGCATTCATGAACACAAATCAGTCAGGTGTAGGCCACAGCATCAACCACTCGTTTACCAACAAAGCATGTTCATTAAAGTCAAATATTTTTCATTAATCCAAAACAAAGGCGATGATAAAGATGGAGAACTTGTTGCTGAAGTAGAAGCTGCGAAGTAAACCACAAAAGACTGATTCTCAGTTCCGTCTATAGTCCGTTTCAGAAATCGAATAAAAAAGCAAGAAAACCTACGGCAGAATGATCAGAACAGTAGCACACTGGAAGCAACGGAGTCTATTAGTCTGAGAGACAGAACAGGTGGGGATGAGGTCACCCTGTCTAACATAGAACCACCTCTAGTAGGAGAATGAGACAGGTCAAACAGATAAAACGGAAGCAAACGGAAAATTCACCGACAAGTTAGGTAACTAACAATTAAGGGAGAATTTTCATCTGACGACGGAACCAAGAAAAAGGATATGAAAATCAAAAGAAGAAAACAGAATTGCTTGTCTGAGATCGCGTTCCGTTCGAGCACAGCCACGTGTATCCCCCCTAGCACACCACTTTAGCAAAGATCCGGCCGCAAACAGGCACACATTGATTCACATTCTGAAAGTGATAAATGACATGCGGTAAAAGCCAACATGATGACGAACACGAAATGTAGCGCAGCCAGTCGAAGACCGCGCGAAGCACTAAGGTCGAACTTTCCACAATCAAGACACCTCCGCTGACAAAAACAGCAGGATGGCGGGCACAATGCGGATATTTGAACTTCTGTCAGCTGATGAAACTGTTGCAAATCTAATGAAACGAATTTGGCAGAAGGGTATGCGAGATGATGAAAATACAAAGTGTTACTTTCAACTGAATCTAAAGGTTTTGAATCGTTCAGAAAGCAAGTATGTGAAGTACCACGTTTGTTGTTGTTGATCATTGGGGATAAACCGGTGTGTGCAATATAGGCAACCGCATCTATGCTAGAAATAACTGGTTTGAACTGGTAGATGTTCACGATGGAGTATGTAAAACTGCCCACTCTTACTCAAAATATTGTTGTACAATCATCGTTGTGTGGCTCAGTGGACCTTGGGTTGATCCTCTCTATAATAAATTTGATTTCATACTACTCGTCTGAGTTCCCTCGAAGTGGTGTGGCCGCCACCCGAAACCCCCTCGGCATTGATGGTCTCACCTTGATTGGTGGTGAAACATTTGTACACATATTGGTAAACTCGGCGAACGGGTAAAAATATTCCTACCGTCTCCCGTGAACTAAACCATGGTAGTATTTTATCGCAGTAGCTGCCTCGACGATGAAGCATAGCTGGCTAAATGTTTCTCATCACAACAAAACCGATCGCATTGTCTCAAGGTTCGAACAATA